CTCGTAAACGTGCTCCATTGTCTTGCTCGGATCACTGTATAATTCGTGTTCTACCTAAAGTATATGGAAGGCATGGGAAGAGTACACTCTTACATCAAACCAAGAAAGTCAAATATAGGAATTACTCAGACGAAGACATCCAAAATCTGAAAACCATGTTTCATACGACTAACTGAGAATTATTTACAGATGACTCACTGGAAATCACTACCAGTGTTATCACCTGTTACCTTAAATTCTGATTTGATATTTGTTGTCTCACTGAAACAATTTCTGTGAGTTTTGATCGACTTACATCTTCACAACTAAAACGACTACGGAGGGTGAAAGAAAGAATGTACAAGGAGAGAAACTGCAATGAAGTTCGTAAGCTAAATGGTCTGATAAACCTAGAGATTAGACGTCTCAACTCTATGTTTACTCAAAAACTATTGTCTTGCGAAAACTCTCCAAGTATGTGGAAACTCTATAAAGAACTTACAGGTGACAGAGAGTTTAGGAGCGATAGCCAGCTGAATGTTTGTGACTTAAATACGTCTTTTGTACGTCAGCCACCCGATGTGATGCTCTCTTTATCCACCGGTTTATAGAATAGCTGTGTTCCTAGTTTCAATGAAGCTGATGTCCGAAGATGTCTCCAGTCACATAATTCATCCCGATGTTTGGGACCTGATGGTATCCCAAACCGCCTTTTTAAGAAATGTGCTGACGTCCTATCTTATCCATTCCCGGTTATCTTTAACAAATCCTTCTCATCTAATATCATGCCGGAAATGTGGAGGAAGATGAAGACAATCCCTGTACTCAAGAAAGTATCTGGTGATAGGAATGTGAAAGTTAGACCTATTGCAATAACTTCACCCTTCCGCAAAACCATGGAAAATTTATTAATACTTCCACTTCAGCCTGCGACAAAAGAGCATATTGATCCGTATCAGTTTGCTTACAGATGCAAAAGAAGCACCTTAGATGCTGTTGCTGTTCTGCATCACAATATAGTGTTCAACTTAGAAAAGGGTAAGAAGTATGTTCGATGCGCTTTTCTGGGCTATACTTCGGCTTTTGATTCTATACCAAGACAACGTTTGCTTAACAAGTAAATCAACATCAACACTAACAGCTGGATAACCAACTGGCTATGTTCCTACCTCTGAAAGGGAACAGTACACTGTATTTGGAGGAAAGTGTTCAGAGTCTCTGCTGTCTCATGAAGTTGTACCACAAGCAGCTGTTCTTTCACCTCTTCTTTTCTCTTTTTTCTGAATGATCTGTTATCTTCCACAGAAAACACTTTTGTGAAACATGCGGATTATCTCACTGTATGTATGCCAATCTCTTCCTCTTTACATCCCATAGAAATGAATGGATTTTTGCCTTGTATTGATTGTTGGTCTGTTGGTAATGATCTTATACTTAATCTGTCCGAATGTCAAGCTGTGAACTTTAGCATGAGACATGAACGGAATCTAAACATTATTTTGAAATCTCATAGTGCTTGTACCATCGGAGACTCTTTGATAAACACAGTGTCGAAGGTCAATTACCTTGGTGTCACCTTTACCTCTGATCTGTCTTGGTCTTCTTACGTTTTAATGTTATCAAAGAAGGTTTTCCGTCTGACTTACTACATAACGAGATTGCATGCTCTTGAGATTACTCGTCATTTACTCTTACAATTTGTCAATTCTTTCATATTACCTATTATTCTTTACTGTTCTCCATTATTCTTTCCCGGGCTTTTGAGGAAAGACTTTGCTGTATTGCAGAGAGTGTTGGAGGCAGTTAGCAAGATGTGTGGTGACTCTTTCGAGGTCATAAATAATGTGATTGTGGATAGACATCTAAAGTCATGCAATCTCCTGGCAGGTGTTATTTTGCCAGATACCAACCATCCCGTTCAATCTTATCTTTCTCCTTGTATATCTTCTGGTAGAACGAGACATAATTACATTAGAATCCATGTACGCAAACAAAATTATAAAAGTTCTATAATACCTTATATAAGATCCAAACTAAGGTTCGGGCTGATGAATAGCTGACTAGGTGTGTTAGATATGCGCCCTTGCACGTTGAAACCAAAACAAAGTAATTGGGTGAAATGACGGTTCTATAATTCATCATAAATTTAAATATGCATTATTACCTAAACAAATATGACCACTCAGCTATCCAACCAATAATTGTTCAATTGATCAAATCTAAATTACAATAAGCAAGGAAGTTGATAAAGGATGCAAGAAAATTACCAATGACAACAAATAAATGTTATTCTATTCTGTCTGGATAGAGCACGCACAGATTCGTTCAAAAGATAATATTCGGTCGCTTTATAACACAGGGTGTTTCCAATTCTGGAAGAGTGCCTCAATTACCAACCAAAAATGCACAATTCCAGTCAACACAGGTAAAGCAATCAAAAAGAGGAACAAACCAATATGGCTGCCGCCAAGACTAAGTATAAAGTAAAACAAATAAGTGCAGTTCGGTAAGAAACATGGAGACTTAGTGAAGGCGCAATAAAATTAAAAACTATAATGAAATACAAGTATTAACAATTGAAATATAATCAAAAAATGGACAATGTACAATCAAGGGGATCAATAGGAACAATGTGCAAGTATTTATTTGGAGGGATTTTCACACACACGCACACAAAGCATTCAAAACGGATCTTACACCTTACCTAACAAATATACTCTGTGACGAACAGGTTGTTCGAGTTAACCTGTGGTGGTCCAAACAGTATATTAACCAAAACGGAATAGCAACAAATTTATTACATCCAAAAGTTAAAATAACAATAAACAACTTATAAATTATTACCGCAAAATAAAGGTCCAAGGATGTTGCTTAAATCAGCTGGCTGTTGCGTGTTTCGTTGTGCGTGTTACCAAAGTTCCACAATTATAGATAATTAATAATTTCAATGAGGTAAATATGGCTGCAGCCAGCTTTCTCGACGTGGAATGTAATAGGTATGTCACAACAGTCTATAAATATAGTTGATAGTTATTCAATAGTTTAGTTACTATATCTATAGGCATGTCAGAACGAGAAATGTGTGTATAAGAGTTTATTTATTAATGCACAGTTAACAATGTCGTGCTATGTGTAATTCAAAACGGAGGTTCGTCGTCAAGGTCACATAGTTAAACAAGTACAATCGTTTAGTGATACATGTACAGATTGAATAAAGTCATTATTAATAATAATGATAATAATCAATCCAAGCATCACTGCCATACAGCTAATATGTAAACAAGAAAACGATATAATTCGAGTTCACTCAGACATATTTATGGATGCATATGAACGGTGGATTTGTAAACAATAAACATTCCAAAATGTTCTGTAAATTCCATTTAATCACCTAATCGCATTATCTAATCATTGATCAACAAATAACCCTTATTATTTATTTAGATGTTTTCGTTACATTCAGTCGTTAGGTGGTTTATTTCGTATAAAACTGTAGTTTATGTCGGCACATTATGGTTCATAACATACATTTAATCTCATACAACGGTTTTCATTGGCTTATCGTTCAATTCATCTGTATAAATTGTTCACTCCTCCAAGTCATATCTCTAACAATAATAGGACAATTGCAGTAAGTTATTCTGTAATATTTTCATAATCAAATGTAATCTGTGACTGAGCTTGTTTACCTATCTTCTGCCTTGGTAATTCATAGAAGTTTAGGAGGTGCATTACAATGAGTTTATTCCAGGTACACAAGTGTATTGGTTCATCAGTATACTCTATGTCTGTAATATGTATGTAATACTCATTATAACCCACTTACGAAACAAGAATTCGTTTGTTGAATTCAAGACTAAGACAACACAAATGAGCGAACACTAATGTTGTCAATACGATCTTTATCAGATTTTACTCTATGAACATGTGAAAATATTAAACTGATCAAGGGAATTTATGGATCAACGATCACGATGAAATAGATTACGAAACTGCACATAATGGGTAAATTGTACGAATGGACGATTGTCGAACAGGTGTACTATTGCACTACCAATGAGAAGCGAGATGAAATAATGTAAGATTTCAAGGTTCATTGACAACTCCACAAAAGTTTCATCCAAGTTAATCATGAAACGTAAACTTGACAGTGACTGTAGGTTTTCCCAAAGAAATTAACATCTAATAGTTGAATTCATGAGTCAATTAAATATAGACCGTGATGTGGCCCGTTGATCTGACTCCATTTTAGTGCGTATGAATGTTTGCTATCACCTATTCTCGTATATCATCGTCGACTTAAATCGCGTTATCCAATAACGGAATTACATAAGTCAATTAACGAGAATGGCATTTGAATACATATATTTGGCATATGAAGTGAATGAAACAGAGGCAAGCAAAATGACGCACAGGGAGGATGGCTGTGAAGCCAACTCCATTTTAATTAAGCGTTACTTAGTATTTATAGGTAGACAAAATAAACTACAGACATGTGATGAATCATGGGATATAGAGTGTACACACATATACGCTCATATGAAAACAGTCAAGGCTAATAAGCGAATAATTGACAAGGTCAAAACATGCTTAAGTAAAATGAATAAAATAGGATGTCTGGAAGTTAGAATAAGGTATGTGGGGTTGCCATAATAACTGACAATACAATCGCCATGAAAAACCTGGAAGCACTGGATGTCTGTTTCGTCCTGATGTGTGACTCCACATTCAGTACAAAATCCTAGTGTAGATCATACACAGTCCACTGATTATAATCACTCTATACATATGTATAAATGAGAAAATATCAAAGTGACCATGAGTGAATATAGATGAATTTGGTGCTAGGAAATAGGGAACAGTTTTGTACCGATATTCAGCGTTAAGAACATCAAATTAACATAATCAAATGGTGTATCAAATTAAGTTAGTTTTGTACAGAGATGATTTAATATTTGCTTATTTTCATGAAAATGTCAGTCATAGTGTGATGCTATCTACTATTAATATCAACTGTAGGAATGATATCCCACATGTTCAAATTGTATATTGCCGTAGTGATTTTATGCACATTAAGCATAATGAAAATTGAATCAGCCACATTTGCAGTACCAATTGAGTTTGACGAGACAGGTATGCGTATTATTTATTCATTAATAATATAATTATCATTATTATTGCTATTGTCAGTAGTGGTAGTAGTAGTAGTATTAGTGTGATAGAGTGGTATTCAAGGACACAAATAATTTATAGATAGTAGGAATCGGAAGTAGAATACCTACCGTCTAAACAGTGAGGTGAAGAGAAGTCGAAGAGAAACGAATAGCAGTCGAAACAATAACTGTTTTTAAACTTTAGGACAAATGTATGTTAACGTGGACGGAATGGATATTTCACTCAACTCTAATCGTATATTGAAAATGAAGAACAGACATTGTACTACAACAATTTCGTTAGCATCACCAAGTGAAGTAGAAATAGCAACTCGAAATGGATATCGTGAAGGTACTTAGTAAGTTCTTAAATATGAGAAAGATAATCTATGGAAATGAGTGATAAATGCATTTATACCGCATATACGATAAAGTAGTCATATCAAAGAACAAACATTCTGACAATGTGGATCAGTTAAATGACCATTATAACTCTTTCAAGAAATTTTTCAAATGAAATGGAATTTAGGAGAGAAATAATTTGATGTGGCTAATTGATTATCAGTATAATGAGAAATCAACGATTACGACTAATGGAAAATCAACAGTTGATCAACCATAACGAGTAATGAATGGTTTGAAATAATTGATCAATGAGTACTGAACAATGTCATGCTTGTCTAGTCGTTTGAGTGCTGGTTGGTTTTATTTTCCACATTGCAGTTTGGTAATTAGTTTATGTGACTAGATATCGTACGGACTATGTTGTCATTTTAGGTGGTGGAAGGTAGTCGCGAGAAATTTTCAGACGTAGGTTTCGTGCTTGTTGATATTTATCAACAAGGAGTTCATATAGTTATGAGAGAAGTGTTGCATCACCGGAATGATTCGAACACATGTCACACAGCTTTATAGTCTGAAAAGTGAGAACTTCAAATCAACTAACTTCAACTAAACATGAGATTAGTCAAAATCAGCGATCAGTCAACTCTAAATAATTCAACTCCACAATAGGCCAGTTGCATCACAAATTACTCACTTGTTAACCACCTATCACCTTACGTTTAAACGAACACAGTTACGTGAAGAAAGTTTTCTTTTTGGTAATGCCAATTAATAAAGCCCCATGATTGCAATCGTAGCCACTAATCACAAAGTGATTTGAGAAAAGATAGATAGATAATCTTTACACTATTAAAAAGGCATCCAAAGTTATGCAAACACTTTTAAAATAACGTAATCGTCAGGAGGTAGCCAGAGTATAAATAACTTAGAAGAGAGATATGAAAAGTGTTTGCTTTATGTATTTAAAAAGCGTATAGAAAAGTCAGACTTGTTTTGAAATTTGCAGTTTAAAATGGAGATCGACTCCATAGATGTATGGACGATTCTCAGCATCACATTCGTTCTATTTGTTTGTTTACTGGTGATCACATTTTACTGAAGAACACGTAGTATACATAATGCATGAGTGACCAGCTACCATGTCGAACGACAGTTGATTCAACCGTTAGTTTAACAGCACATTGCCAATCAGGTTTAGTTTATACATTAGGCACAACTTATGAAGCTAATAAATGACATATATATTGGTTATGCGGTTCTTCCCGTTTGTAATAGCGTCTACAATTCATCAGTCTCTTCCTGATATGCGTACATGTTTTGGGTATTTCCTAGATGTCGTGATTATGTCACAAGCATTTTAACAGGAAATGTATAGTGGGTAGTAGTGGAGTTCGGGAACACGCTTCTTCCCGTTTCGGATTCTTCAGCTGCATGTCCCACCATTCCAGATTTGTTGTTCACTCTGGAAATCGAAACCAGTAGCATTCTCTCCAAACACCATCACCGGTTTATTCACATGGCCACTGAGTTGAAATAACCAGTGACTTGTGTAATGGAATGAACATCAACTTTGAGACTCGAACAAATGACAGCATTCGCCGATCATTTCACTTGATTAATTAGCATTAAACAAACAGCTTCAGGTTAGCTGAATAATAGAGAGACAGAAAGGTAGATTCTAGTGTTCGGATGTTACCTGTACATTATCTTGAAAATGTTATATTGTTGATCGGGAAAGACACCTTCCTTAAGACATTCGTCTAAGGTGTGATATAGAGGATGACTTAAGGATGATGAGTGGAATATTATTTTTGAAACATTAACTACAGTAGACTCAGCTTACAACGTACACAGATTCCGAGATGTATGTATAAATGCTTAGACCATATTGTCGCGTATTGATGCAACAATGATAGCCTGTTTTGATAGATATTTTGAATGGTTAATATGAAGTAGGATGAGCACGATGGTATCAACAAACTTCAGATGTTCGCTTCGGTGACCGAGACTTTTGTCTGGGAAAAGATCTTCGTTTGGCGGCGTATCTCGGTTGTCTAGTTTGGTTGGTTGCTATGGTCGATTGAAGTGACGCCAGCTGGCTCGTTAATTGCCTTAACTGCTTTTGATAGGAGGCTAAACAGCTAATGTCTGCTGGTCCAGGTGGTTGCAAGGAGTTCACACAGTGATTGTCTTGGTATACTTCCATCACTTTATCCGCCATGTCGGCTAAGTCATCAAGGGCGACGGATTTCCCTGAGACACTGAGAATTTGTCTAACGCTGTGTGGTAATGTTTGAAACCACATTTGCTTTAGGAGGGCTTCGTCTACCTTGTATGGACCGGCGAGTTGTTTCATGTGGCGTAGAAGTTGAGAGGGTCTTTTATCTCCCAAGTCACAAGACGTTAGCAATTGTTGTAGCCTTTTCTCATCTGAGACCGATGTACGTTGAATTACTGCTGCTTTTATCTTATCATATGGTTCAGATTCTGGGACGTGATCAATTAAATCCCCAACTTTAGCGGCAGTCTCAATAGGAAGTGCGCCGACTACGTATGCATACTTTGATGCCTGAGATCTTATGCCTCTAGCCATGAATAAAGCTTCATTTTGAGCAAAACAGACTCTTGGATTATTAGCTCCACAAGTTGGGAGTCTGAATTCTGAGATAGAATTAACTGAACTAAAATTATTTTCAGGAGAGTTCGACAATGAGACAAAAGTTGTTACTGGAGGCGAATCCACATCAATGAGTTTAGTGGGAGAGAACATTACGAGAAGAAAATAAACCAGTAAATTGTATGAGATGTTAAATACTATAACCGTTAGGATAAACACGAGGCTCACCAAATAATTGTGGTGGACCAAAAAGTATAATGACCAAAAATTAGCGATAAAGTTATTACATCCAAAAGTTAATGTAACAATAACAATTTATAAATTAGTAACACAAATTAAAAGTTCAGGGACGTTACTTAAATCAGCTAGTTGTTGCGTATTCTGTTGAGTTTTGGTCCCAAAAAATCCACAATTATAAATGAGTAATAATTCCAATGAGGTAAATATAACTCCAGTAAGTTTTTTTGACGTAGGGTGTAATAGAAATGGTACAGCAGTCTAAAATGTGAATAATACTCGATTTGGAATGCGATTAGCTCGATAACGCGTGAGAATAGAATAAGGAGTGTGTGTGTGTAATAGTGTATTTGCGAACAACCAAAAGCGTGTCACGCTATGTTAGTATCACAACGCAAAACGTATTCAAGGTCATTTACTTAAACAACAGGTAAAATCATTTAATGATAAATGTACATGCAGTGAGAAATTGACAAAATAAATACAAATAATATTGAAAACTATATACAAAATAGGCTTGTCAGACCTATCACTACATATGTAAAAAGAAAGGGATTTAATTCGAGTTCACCCAGACATATTTATGAATACATATGTACGGCGGATTTGTAAACAATAAACATTCCAAAATGTCATGTAAATTCCAATTAATCATTTAATCTGATTATCTAATCATTGATCAACAAATAACCCTTATTATTTATTTAGATGTTTTCGTTACATTCAGTCGTTAGGTGGTTTATTTCGTATAAAACTGTAGTTTATGTCGGCACATTATGGTTCATAACCTACATTTAATCTCATACAACGGTTTTCATTGGCTCATCGTTCAATTCATCTGTATAAATTGTTCACTCCTCCAAGTCATATCTCTAACAATAATAGGACAATTGCAGTAAGTTATTCTGTAATATTTTCATAATCAAATGTAATCTGTGACTGAGCTTGTTTACCTATCTTCTGACTTGGTAATTCATAGAAGTTTAGGAGATGCTTTACAAGAAGTTTATTTCAGGTACACAAGTGTATTGGTTCATCAGTATACTCTATGTCTGTAATATGTATGTAATACTCATTATAACCCACTTACGAAACAAGAATTCGTTTGTTGAATTCAAAACTAAGACAACACAAATGAGCGAACACTAATGTTGTCAATACGATCTTTATCAGATTTTACTCTATGAACATGTGAAAATATTAAACTGATCAAGGGAATTTATGGATCAACGATCACGATGAAATAGATTACGAAACTGCACATAATGGGTAAATTGTACGAATGGACGATTGTCGAACAGGTGTACTATTGCACTACCAATGAGAAGCAAAATGAAATAATGTAAGATTTCAAGGTTCATTGACAACTCCACAAAAGTTTCATCCAAGTTAATCATGAAACGTAAACTTGACAGTGACTGTAGGCATTCCCAAAGAAATTAACATCCAATAGTTAAATTCATGAGTCAATTAAATCTAGACCGCCATGGAAAACGTGCAAGCACTGGATGTCTGTTTCGTCCTAATGTGTGACTCCACATTCAGTACAAAATCCTAGTGTAGATCATACACAGTCCACTGATTATAATCACTCTATACATATGTATAAATGAGAAAATATCAAAGTGACCATGAGTGAATATAGATGAATTTGGTGCTAGGAAATAGGGAACAGTTTTGTACCGATATTCAGCGTTAAGAACATCAAATTAACATAATCAAATGGTGTATCAAATTAAGTTAGTTTTGTACAGAGATGATTTAATATTTGCTTATTTTCATGAAAATGTCAGTCATAGTGTGATGCTATCTACTATTAATATCAACTGTAGGAATGATATCCCACATGTTCAAATTGTATATTGCCGTAGTGATTTTATGCACATTAAGCATAATGAAAATTGAATCAGCCACATTTGCAGTACCAATTGAGTTTGACGAGACAGGTATGCGTATTATTTATTCATTAATAATATAATTATCATTATTATTGCTATTGTCAGTAGTGGTAGTAGTAGTAGTAGTAGTAGTGGTAGTGGTAGTAGTAGTAGTAGTAGTAGTAGTAGTAGAAGGAGTAGTATTAGTAGTAGTAGTAGTAATAGTAACACGCAATTCGAGTGGATTTGTGATATGATTCATAATTCAATCAACATGTCTTACGTTGTAGCCTCACTAATCATAATTTACTGCTTTTTAAACTTTAGGACAAATGTATGTTAACGTGGACGGAATGGATATTTCACTCAACTCTAATCGTATATTGAAAATGAAGAACAGACATTGTACTACAACAATTTCGTTAGCATCAC